AGCGTTCCCACTACACACAATTGCTGGATCTGATCCATCAATTGGGGGATCTGATCCGGCAATTTGGTAAAAGGTGGATCAGATCCCTCAATTGGTGGATCAAGTGGGAACGGGCTCTAACACAGTGTGGCCTACATGAAGGGTCAACCTCCAGTAACCATACCTTTTTCTGGGCAGGACAAATTTCAGTTAGAACCAAGGTATACTGACCTGAGAGCCCTGCTCAACTTCTCGTAGTTCAGTTAGCTTTCCCACTACACACAATTGCTGGATCTGATCCACCAATTGGGGGATCTGATCCGGCAATTTGGTAAAAGGTGGATCAGATCCCTCAATTGGTGGATCAAGTGGGAACGGGCTCTAACACAGATTGGCCTACATGAAGGGTCAACCTCCAGTAACCATACCTTTTTCTGGGCCGGACAAATTTCAGTTAGAACCAAGGTATACTGACCTGAGAGCCCTGCTCAACTTCTCGTAGTTCATGGAGGGCTTGTTCTTTCGCTCTCCCCATTTCTGTGCCACCAGTTCAGCATCTAGCAGCTTGAATTCCCCCTGAGTACCCACCCAGCAGATGCAATGCACCATCGTTGGGTCTGTCAGCATCTCCAAGAGGAACTGCCAAAGCTGAATCTGCCCGTTGTTCCCTGTACAGAGGTGTGACAGAGAGGAGAAATGGAATTCTTTATTTCTTGAATTGATGGATGGCAATAATAGTTCCTACAGTTGACATGTTCAAGTCAGTGAATTCGAGGTGTGAACATCTGGTGTAACAGCTTGTATCAATTTCAGAATAGTCTGACTTCCAATCTGACAGTGTAAGGTTTGCTTGATGACTGACCTGTTCTGTTTCCGTGTGAGTTCAGCTTGTCCTCAGAACCAAAACCGGTGATGCGAAGTTCCCGTTCTGGAACCTTCATCATGCCTTCTTGATCTGCTTTTTGAGAGGTGATTTTAATTATCTAAGTCAGTTTCACACTGATTGCTGAACAACGGTGGCAGAGTAATGTCTAGGTTTCTTATCGATGCCAATAAAATGCCCTCCCTTTGAACTTATTAACTATATCTATTTTAACATCAAATTATCAATACAACAAATTGAAGACCCAACAGATCTTATTCACAAGGATGCCATTTTGATCATGCTCCCTGAATCTTATCAGTTGGTACGAACAATTTCTCAGATGTTGGGTCAGAATCTGATCAATGCGGAATTGCCAATGAGGTAGGACTAAGGGTTAACTCTAAACTTAAGTTGGCTTCCCAGGGGATGGGGCAGATTCCATGCCCAACATTTTCTCCAATTCAAACACAGACTAGAGACTCACTCCTTTTCAGCAGGTCCAAGTGTATCCACATCAACTCTCCTGCCTGCCTGGGAAGCCCGGATAGAAACTCTCGCTTAGTCAGCGCACAAAGCTTCTCTCCCCCGACTTGGAGATGGTCCGGCACAGGGCAGTTTGTTATCTTGAACTCGTTGATGACCCAATCCAACCAGTGCTGGGTGTGGACATTGCTCCAGTCTTTGGGATCTGTAAAGAAGTCATCATAAATCGATCACCTCTGCATTTCCTGCAGTATCATAACATACTGCACTTCTGTATCCTGCTGAGCCTCAAGAAAGTTTTTCCGTTGATTCTTTATTTAACCAGGGTAAACACCAATAGACTGTTCTCCTTTGTGACTCTGGGAGAAGACAGTGAAGAAATGTTTCAGCTTTTTGGACTTGGGTGGAAAAACCCTGGATAACTATTCCAGGGAAAACCTCCAGCATCAAGGAGGGACTGGAAACCAATCCACATCAGCCCGGGTGAGATTCGAACCCTGGGCCACAGAGGTGCAGGACGTGGAAAGTACCAGTAAGCCCACCTGACTCCCCTGACTCACAAGAAGTTTTGTACTGCTGTGTGGAAGCCATATTGATAGCATTTGTATGCAAATCAGACAAACAGTTCTCACAAAATGCCCACTTTTCCAGGAGAGGTCGGAATGAAAGAATGAACATATCCCATCAATAAGGGTTCAAAGGACCAGTCGACAAGGAAAAGTTCAGTGTAGTCCACTCTAAGCCCCAAATGACATCCAAAAATGTACATGTAATTGGATTGTGCATATACTGCTCAGGTTTGAAGAAACAAAAATCACTCTTCCACTCTTCGAAAAGCAATGATAATGCTTTTCTTTTTCCATTTGCTGGAGGCCCATACCCCATGAGGTTTTTTAACAGACACCCTGCTGAGTGAAACAAATCCAACACAAGAGAATGAGAACTAAATGCAACAAAATCCTACACAGCAGAAATGAGAACCCCGTTGAATGCAACAAAACCCAGCACATTCCAACAATGGATTTGCTGGCATTGTGCAACACGCTGGATGACAACCAGCCTTGGCACCAGACGATCACACCACAGTCTCTCTGACTCGTGATGACTGCCAAGACGGCAACGTAGTAATCCATGTTGCATCTTGTTGCATGTTGCATGTTGCAAGATTAAGAATGAGCTACTTACTTGTTGGCATGCCCAGCCTTTCTTGCACCTCCCGGTAGTTGTTGCACACCACCCACTTACACTTAGTGGTAGCTTCAACCTCAGTGGCTAACACAGAAAGTAAAACTCAAGTTTATTTCAAAGTTTGCTGACATGCAACCACAACCACTATAACACTAGCATTGAATAGAACAGAAATATTTTCCAATAGCTATAATAATAGGTATGGGGTGAGATTAACAGCATTTAAAAGAAATGAAGTACCTGGTGGTGCGTTATCTACAACTTCAATCGTGATCGGCTTTATGACATCCACAATGTTCATTCTAGGCCTTACCCCTGCAGAAATGCAGAAATAGAAATGTCGGCACTTGGAGCAATTAAACAATAATTTTGTCCTGTTGAACAAAAAATAACAGCCAGGGTTTTCACAGCGCAATCCAATCTTCATAAAAACACTAGGTTTGTAGTATTCTGTGCATACTGGGATCAAAGGTTATTATCTAAAAACAGGTGTGAATAATTTGGTTTCTGGGGCTCGGATGCATCATTCAGAACACTGTCCATAGACATACATATTTGGGGGAATTTTCGGTCGACTAGAATGACATACAAATTAGGTTTTGCCTCCTTCACCAATAGTACGAGGACTTCATTCTCCCAGCATGCGACACAATGCACCCAAACTGTATTCGGCAAGGACTCAAACTCTGCCACTGTCTGTTTTCTAGTGGACATAGCTTGACCAATGACCACTGGGACATGCTGGGGTCGGTTGACTGATTGGAATCTGACAGCTGTGGTTACCTTGAGCAGAAATGACCTCCACACTAAACTGCAGGGTTCCCTCTGCGTTCACCCCTTGCTCCAGTAGACTGTTGCTTTCATCCAACTGTGTTGATAGTGCACAAAGAAAGGAAGAAATACCGACGTGATTGTTACTCAACACCAACAGGTATCATCCAGCGCATGTAGCCTGGTGAGCAAAATCTCCCACCAAATTTAAAAAGTACCCACCAAATTTTAAAATCTTGCATTTTGGTGCTACACTCATTTCTGGGAATACGTCATCTTACACAACAGTATCATGCTAAAAAAGCTGCCTAGACATGTGTAAATTGCTTTTCACTGACGCCCAAGAGAGCTGATCTAAAAATAAAGGAAGGCTCCCAAGTAGAGCGTAAACCCCATACTGAGGCTTTGTCCTAACCTCCCCAGTTTCAATATTTCCATCAGTCCAAACCTCCTTTAAAACTTGAACTCAAAGAACATTGACCAACTACATGATTCTGCTGCCAACCTTAAAAGTTCCTTGAAGTTTGTGCAAATCATTATCAAATTAGGATGAAAACGACAATAGTCCAACTATAGATGTTCCCAGCTGAAATGGTGCAATTACGCACCTTTTGTGTACATACCTATAGCCTGTTGGTTTCATTCCTTATCACAGGGGTGCTAGTGGAACAAGGAACAATGTAGGGCATCTGTATAACAAGGCTGAGGGCCAAGTGGTATACGGGACCCAGACGCACTACATTATTCTGTGTTCCATGAGTACGAGTGCGATACCGAATTTATCTTGACATGCAGTGAAGATGTTATAGGGGCCTACGTGCGCAAACGCGTCACAGTAAATTTTTCTGTTCTGCATTTCGCTTTTGGCGTACAAATTGTGCATTGCATTGAGTTAGAATAGTGCATTACGCAGGATTTGATATGAACTGTGCGACACAGTTATATGCTACATTGTTTGTTGGCATGGATCGACTAATCAGAATTGAGAATTCAACTTTGCTTGGAGGCAAGACTATGCTGTGTCCAAATCATATCGGCTGAGGCTAGGATCGCAGGTAATGCACACTATGGAGAGCTGCTAAAGCCGCAAGCCACTGACTTCTATAAGTGTGGATGCTACTTCTTGCTGAAGCCACAACCTTTGGACACACCTCCTCCCCAGCATTTCATGTTTTTGAGCATTTCCAATGAGGCAATGTCTCATAAGTTGGCACATTCTTTATTGCACTGGCATGCTTCCCATTGGCAGCGCTGGTGGAGATTTCTTGTCACATATGGAAGGGGGAAGAGGCTGATTTCCAAAAGATTATCCTTGCGTAGAGCGTGACACGGCACAGGGTCCAAGGTCCCACTTCCATTAGGGATGCCCATAGACTCAGTGACTTGAAAACGGAGAGGGGCAGGGTGATTGGTAATCACCCAGGTCAAAAGATCTCCACCTATGATTGGAAGCAATATGTGTTCCCAGTGGAAATCCGCTGTATTCTCATTGGGAACAAGTCACTTATACATTAAGTTATATGTACACACACAGACAACTGTTCCAATTCAAGGCCGTGCATTTCTCTCAGTGGTAACAGCAGGTATTGAAGAGTGGGAACAAAAGAAAGCAAATTCTTGTTAGAAGGTTCTTCAACATTCTAACTTTTGAGACTCTCACTAAGGCCATGTTTGTCTCACACGGATCTGGATCACTATCAGTGATCTGTCATTGGTTTACGGACACCAAAACTCACCTAATGGATGGTGCAAACCAACATTAGGATCACTGATCTAGATCACATGGATCTGGATCACTATCAGTGATCTGTCATTGGTTTACGGAGACCAAAACTCGCCTAATGGACGGTGCAAACCAACATTAGGATCATTGATCAAGATCCAGATCCGTGTGAAACAAACGGGCCCTAAGTTGCTGACATCAGACCCCCAGCAAGGCAGGTTCTACCAGAGCTTACCAGTCTCTCGTTTTGCAAGTAGATCTCATGGTCCTTGAGACTGCACTGCAACCTCTGTTCCAGGGCTTTCTTGAGACTAGACAGCGGCTCAGCAATGTCCATCATGTGGATGATGATACTCTGGGGCGGAGGTGGTTTAGTAGGACAGGGTTTGATGAGTTCTCCACTGCTACAGTACATGCCACAAGTGAAATTAATATAAAATAATGTGAACAAATTAAAAATGATTCTCTGAACTACTTCCTTGAGAGAAAAACTCTGTTTTTCAACATTGCTATGTGCTAACGTGACAAAAATCAATGATAATTGGGGAGGTTCTGAACGGATGTTGCTGTTCTATTTCACCTTTTTTAAGAAAAAAATTGTGTAGTTACTGGCCAATGTGAACTAAAGCAGTTGGCCACTTTGATTCTACAGAGTGGCTCACCATTTAGAAACAACCACGGACGGAACTGAAATAGAACCAAAATACCTCAAATTTGAACAAACCAAAAATAATAACCCTCACCCAAACAAATAAGTGTGATCCTCCACTTTTACAGGTTATGAAAACTCTGGATGGATTTTGGTGACAATGCGTAAATGGGAAGTTAAAATTAATACCTGTCACTCTATGTGTAAAAATTTGGTTTAACTCAGCTTTTTGGTTTCATACAGTAAAAGTACATGTGAAAATACATAAAATTTAAACATCAGTCTCGGCAAATGGACTTACCCAGGGAATACAACTTGTCTGCTGGGAGACCCTTGAGATAACTTTCTCTTTTTACTCTTCTGCTCCATTGTTCTTTTCTGTAAAAGATACCAAACAGGGGTAGAGCGGAACTTATTTTATTTCTTTATTTTTTTAAAATTTAAACGCCAAAACGCTTACGCAGTCACTTGCCAACAACAACAGTTTCATTAAACGCTTTATTAAAAACAAATCATGAGCAATAGACAAAAGCTGAACTAAACATGATTTACATACGTCATTATGACCCAGGACAAGGTGAATGATCATTTTGAAAAAGGAACACAAAAAAGTGGAGGAGTTTGTAGCCACCAACGGGGTATCCGGTTTGGATTTTTCATTGATCCCTATTCATTTCCCGTTGTTTTGTTCTCAGAGAGCTCCCCCATTTATTTTGTAGAATGTGGACGTTTCTCCATCAGTGACTCAAGCCACCTACCCAATTATATAAGGCGTGTATTTTGAAGCATGTCAAGCGGTAGGGTATTGCAATTATGTATTCCATGATTTACAATACCCACTGATCGCACCCTAGCAGCTCAGTTCTGCATTAATATTATAGTGGGGTCCATGGGTTTTACAGTCAATTCGCCCACTTACCGGTTCGCCCTCAACTACGTCACCCATTCACCACTTTGCCCACACGCCATTTCGCCTACACATATTTCACATGGTATTAATGCATGGCCTAATTTCACAAGTCTCAACATCCTAATGGGTTTTTTGCTTGCAGGTTTTGGATACAAAAATCAAAACATCAAGACTTTGACACAATAAACACATTTTCAAAAGCAATTTGGATAAACCCCATGGGTGAAGTGGCAAATGGGCGAAGGGGTTGTGGGCGAAATGGTTGTGAGTGAAGTAAATGGGCAATGTAACCGACATCGGTCCATGGTTAAATGTAGTCACACACACTGCCTAGCACCCCTAGCCACCATACCATCACGACCATGGCCATTGTCAAGACTGTGCACTGGCCACAGCCTCGACAGCCAGGCATAGGCTACAACTCTCTGGGGTCTGACGTCGCATGTAAGCCAGGCACTGAAGCAGCGCAGCGGTCGGCATGCCATGGACCATGGTCATGATGATGGCACTGCTCGAAAAAAAGCTTTAAAAAAGCCTAAACGACCGCCTAAACATGCCTCGGCCATCATGGCCATGTTGTCGGCCTAAAGCATAATGCACGAACCATCCTCAACAATTTCACAGTCTGAAATACACTTTATTAACTACTTATCGAGTACTCTCCAGATTGAATGGATTCACAGTTACCTCGAAGCCACTTTGCTGTCACCTTTGAATGAATCTTGTCGTAAGAAGCAGAGAACTGGGCTGAAATCTACATCGACAAACCCTAGTTTCACGGATGACAAAACGGAAGAAAAACAAATCCGGGCAAATTTTCACCGGATGTGCCGATACCTAAAGCTTCGGTGTTAAATATGTTTCAATTAATTTTTAAATACAAATGTATTTTCCCCCAGAAAAATATTTTTTCAAATATTGTGTATTTTGATAACAGTTTACCTGATATTTTTAGACATTATATTGAAGATTTTAAAGATTGATTTGTGTAGTATTGAAAAAGCCCGATTTACCGCCATCTTTAATTTTTGCAGACAGGCAAGATTTGATTTTCAGGAGGCAAAACTTTTGTCCAACATACGGGCTTCGTACAATTGCAGTATTTCCTATAATCTATTTTCAAATGAATTTAGAGCTGTTGGGTAAGTTTATTTCTGCATTAAATGTTGAACATTTTCAGAGGCCTTAGGCCTACATATTTTTTGCGCGACCGCACCGGCCGAGCTCGGACATGTCGGACAAACTCGACCGTTTGCTAGGCCAACATCATGCATGTCGTAGGTCTACTGCCTAACTTCATGAACTCGCTCGACTCAGACATGTCACAACATACTGTTGCTTAGAGTTAGGGCCTAGGCCTACGCGTTTAATCTGGTAAGAAAGCTGGACCGTTGAGACTGTTCTATCCTCCGTGGTCTGAGTAACGCAGACTCTACGAATTGCCGTTTTTAACCATTATTCAATTGTTAACCTTTGGTTAAGTTGGGACATTGTGCCCAACCATGCCATGCCAACCAAAATTTTAACATTGTTAAAAAATGTGATTCATAGATAGGTCGGGGACCAAACCACAATCTAGCGACATCCCCAGTTTTTGCTGAGGCCTATGTCGCTTGTTCAGGGGCAATGATGTCGTTTTTTAATCAGGTCACGTGATAATGATGTTGTTTTCCCGTGAGATTTTAAGTGCCGGCAGCCAACATGGTTGCCGTTACCATTGGAGCCTATGGCAAAATTATTTCCGATCACTATCGTGGAAAATTGCCACAGTAAACATAAAATTCGCCACGATAAATTGGTGGATATTTTTAACATGTTTAATAGCAACATTCTCATGCATAAAGTAAATTTTGGCAAAGCTTAATTGTCTTCGCAATTTGTATTGAAGTTTTCGGCCAATAAAGAGATTGATGTCATCCGCGAACCGAGATATAAACACAGCTCAAAATTTATGTTAACCTTGCACAATCGAGCAGCATACATGTATGCATAGTGTGGTGTCGTTGCCAGATTGTGGTTTGGTCCCCGACCTGACAGAGTCCAAGTTACTCGGACATGTGAGACTACACCTGCACACCATTTCCTCAAATTTAAATCGAGAAACGACTGGGTGACGGATTTACCATCTCTCACACTGACTGGCATAGGCCAAGCCCTCCAGCATGACAGCCAACTACGCTATCAACTAATGATCAGTGTGGCCACGGCGTGTATGGCGGCAGAGGCACCAGTGCAATGCAGACTATCCTGACAGTGCACTGCGTCACTGTGTGTGCTGCATCGCCATTGCGGTCACCATGGTCACCTTTTTAAGCTGATTGGGGCAGCCGATGTGCCATCCACCAGTCGAGTCGAGTCACAACATAATGCAACACATGCAAACTTTTTCTCCTACATGTACACTGTACTCACGATCTGCTTGTTCAAACATACAGTGTACAGACATGAGCACGTGCCTGTTAAATTTGCATGCTTTGAGAAGCTTTTGCACAAATCGAAACTTGTGTAGGTAGTCCAATTTGCACTCAACAATGCGTAGACTGATCCATATCTCTTGAAAATTGATGTGTATGTGAGGGTTTGGACCATTTGGCCGATGGGTTTTTTTTTTTATTACTTCAAGCATGTTTGTTAATGATGTTATTATGTGTTTTTCTCTATTTTATCATTTTTCAGAGACTTTTGGCCAGAACTTTCCAGAGGTAAGCATCTTGAAGTAACGGGAATTTCTTTCCAAAAGCCGACTCCAAGAATTCCAGCCTCGCTTGGCCACGAAGGCCACCTGCCAAACCGCAAATTCTCGGTCTATGGCTCTGCGTGCTCTGCACGCTTTGAATTACGTAGTGAAAATACTGATTGTTCGGTGGCATGCGGCTCTACTCACCCTTCCACATTCCCGTTGCCTCTTTTCAAAGTGGGGACTATTGTGAAGCTGGTGATTATGATGCAAATTCGGTCTTTTCATTTCTGGGCTATACACAAAGACCAATCACCATATATACAAGTGCCAGGGTCTGCCTTCTTTCACCGTGTTCGCTCGAGCGTGGGCCGAGAATAATAGCTGAAAAGTGGGCTTAGGATCACAATTTTTACGGCGGCTATAGCCACTTCCCTGCGCGAAGGGGTTAATTAGGCAGTATGGAAATGGTGTTGTCACCTTACACAACTTCTTTGGTTGTGTCAACTTGTGTGCATGTTTTGGGTTTTGCAATAAAACTAAAACTTTGTCAAGCTCACATTCCGGAAATTTCAAAATTTGGGTGGTAACTTCTTGTTACGGAGATAAAATAGGAAGACAAATGTGGTGTCAGGATGTCCCATTCTTTCCGGCAATACCAATCCTGTGGACACTTCATCGTATTGCAGTTTGTGCTGCCAGCATTCTGTCAAGTCTGTGCCATTTATCCTAAATAAGGGCTGCTTCTCTCTTGAAACCAAAGCTACATGTACATTATATAAACTTCTCTTATTTGACAAGTGAATTGTTAGACATGTGTTCAACTGGATGACAGATACGATGCCAGCCACACGGTGTATGTGTTTCATGGAGTACACATTGTTGTTTGATATTCAGGAAAGCGATGGCACTCTGGATTGCATCAGCATGGCGCTGACCTGCGCCTTCAACAAACGAGGCACGTTATTGGCCGTGGGCTGCAATGATGGCCGTGTGGTCATTTGGGACTTCCTGACCAGGGGCATAGCTAAGATCATCAGTGCGCATGTCCATCCTGTCTGTTCTGTCAGGTTGGTTCATTTCTTCTTTCTGGAAGAACAAGAATGTAACCTGTATAAACAACAAAATTCAGAGAGCTCCTTCTGTGAAAAAAATGGGAAAAATGATATTTTTGTGTCCATTATATTTTATTAAGATGTGTAATTTCAAATCTTTTACTAAAAAGGATGTGTAATTTCAATTGAAACATCAGCTTTCATTTTCTTCGCCATGAAACTTTGTTTTTTTCGTCACCTTGGACTTTGCTTATTTCATGACCATCTGCAGCAGTACTTACCTTTGTTCATTGAAGTGACCACTTTTGGTATCATTTTGTGGAGTCAACAACTGCCAGAGACAATCCTCAATCTTTCCCCTATTCGAAGCCTAAAGGTTGTTCGGGTAAGAGATGTGGGGTAAATTTAGGGAGGTACGGAGCCATCTGTTATGGGCCTCCATACTGCTTTTTCTCTTTTTAAATTCCTCAAATAATTGGTATAATTTTGTTCTTTTGCAGCTGGAGTCGAAATGGTCATAAGCTGTTGAGCGCGTCCACAGACAACATGATCTCCATCTGGGATGTGCTAAGCGGCGATTGTGACCAACGATACCGGTTCCCTTCCCCAGTGCTCAAGGTTCAGTTTCACCCACGGAACGAGTAAGCAAGCCATCATCTGAATAACTTAGACATAGCTGGGAAAAACACAGGCTTCTATAGAAGCTTCTTTTGAAATCTTAATGTCTACGGTCATTTTCTACAGGTCCATTAATTATTGCCAGCCATATCTAGATGCCACAAGGGACTTTGTGTCCATGTGGGGCAGCACAGCCTGTCCAAACGCAGCTTAAACCCTAACAGTGTCAATTTTTTTCTTGGGAAAAGGTGCAGAGTACCAGAGATGCAATTCTTTATGTGCCCGGCAAAAGGTCGTAAGCATGCATATGCCGGGAAGCACGATCACAGTAGAAAAAATGTTCCTGGCAAAAGGACGTAAGAACCACACTCTCTTTATTAAGTAAAAACAGATAAAATTTACTACAAAATCAACACAGGCTGTATGAAAAGCAACCATTGAACAACTTATTAAAGAACTTGGGAAATTTTTTTAAATCTTTTCCAAAGAAATCTCTATATTTCATTAAAATAAATACGTCCTTTTGCAGGGAAAAGTTTTTTTTGCAGTGATCCTGCTACCCAGCAAAAGGGCGAAAGCTTACATCCTTCTTCCAGGGACACGATGAATTCCTCTACACCCTTACCTTCCCAAATTCTTCAAAAACCAACAGGAGAGGTTTTTCAACAGTTCTTGCAGGACTGTCTAATGTACAATCCACTCACTGTTACTTCATGCAAGACTTTAACTCCCCCAAAAGGTAAAAGTACAAAGAATGTGCCATTGAATTACTGCACAGTGCAGGACTTCAGAGAGCCAAGAAAGGTTCCCGGTGATTATTCCTTGAGAGTTAGGGGCAATAGTTAATATCCTTACATTTGTGGGAAAGAGATGAGAGTTCGCGGAAGCAGAATGTGTGATCTGTCCTTCGTCCGGAGATGATGGATGACGGACAGAGCATGCTGTACAAAATGTTGAGTACACTCAGTTCAGTTCATTGTCTCACCCATTCACAGGAGAGATTTCACATGGTATTATCACAAAAACTTCATCTCACTTCTAGGCTAAAGTCAAGAATTTTCTGCTTTCTGAAAGTCAAATTCTGCTTTCTTCCGCTGTCTAAATCTGTGTACAAAAACTGTATGTGACTGTACATATGTACTGCAGGCCTACATTTACCGTACATATACAGGTATCTTTGGCATAATGATACATGTAGGGCCTACATGCACCATGTCACCGTGATCTTGGACTGGTCCCTGTCCCTATTGATTTATTCATAAGCCGTGAGACGTCTGGGCACTATGTAGGGAACGGGGACCTCGTGATCTCTGTGGTGCGGAGACAGAGGTAATTAATACTGCTAAATCGCAAAGGAAAAACAGGAGGGGAAATGCTACCAAATGTTACTTTCAAAGTGAGTTAAACAGTGAAAATCAGTTGTCATTCCTAATTTGGGTTCATATTTATTTGATTAATTGTGCAGAAGTGATCAAAAATATTTATTTGTTTTATTTATTTATTTTTTTACCAAAAATTGCATTTTCTGCTTTCTACCCCCGAATCCACGATTTTTGTGGATTTTCTGCAAAGCGGAAAACTCTTGGCTTTGTTATAGGCCCACCATGCAACCCTCCAGATCCTACTTGCAGCAGGGCTTTGGGTAGCAGTGGCAAGTGGTGTGCTACTTGGACAGGTGTAATTATCTGCAACACATCACGAGGACTGGAGTACTGTACTTACTGTTTGCCATCTCCCTTTCCTCATAAATGTTATTTGAGGTTTTTTCTTTTGTTTTTTTTTTATGACAGGGCAAAGATCCTGGTATGTCCCATGAAACATGCACCCATCATCCTCAACATTGACGGCAGTTACTCAGTCGTACCAACAGATGATGACGTAAGTTATAAACCACTTGAAGTCAATCATACAAGGACATTGGGTATAACTGTGGAGTGGACTTTTAAACAATTAATTTTACCAGATCCTTGCAAACTCTTCTTGATGTTTGGAAGGATTTGGCTAGATTCTGAAAGATAGAACACAATGATACTGGGCGTAATGCTACTGGAAAATTTGAAGGACAGAAAATGTGCCGTCAGTTTCTGCAGTGTGAAGGTTTTTTGGGGGGAAGGATTCTTGAAGCTCCCTGGGAGAAATATTTGGAGAGCATGGTGTAAATGTGTTATTTTTGTTACTGAGAAGGGTTTCCATGTGCAGTTACTGTTAGAAAAAGTTGGGAAATGTCTTTGCAATTTCTCAGACAGAAATTAGGAAAGACTTTTGAGTTTGTTAGGAAATAGAGGGGAGAATTATTAGAAAAACATGTTGTATTTGAAATCTATATTCTTACAAATGGGTCATTAGGGAGACATTTTGTGGTAAATTTTTCGACCTTAGGGAGACATTGGTCATTTGAAAGACATTTAAATGTCTCCCTATTGCTCCAACTACCAGGAGGCCAAATTTTACTGTTCAAATTTGGAGAGATGATAGATTAGGGTCTAAATTGAAAACATACAAAGTTTGGGTCAGATCAGATTAGGGAATATTGAATTATTGGACAGTAAAGTTTGTGCACGTTCTTATGGGAATGTCTCCCAAGTGACCCATTAGCGGTAAACAGTATTCCTACTTGCAACAATTGCACACAATTCAGGGTTTGACATTGTCTAATGAGGCAACGCAATGACATGACAACGGATTTCATGTTTGTGTTGGATTTTTCTACCAGTTTGATCTGAATATTGTGGCGTCATTTGACCGGAGAGGGAAGTATATCTACACAGGGAATGCTAAAGGAAAGGTACGAAAGCCAGGAAAACTATTCCATGGATTGCTGATGGTTTCATCTTTGTTGACTTGAATATCTTTGGAAGTGGAAAGCAATGAGATATAATATCGCTGTCTTATTATCTGCTTGCTCTAAACAACGGTTATTCCTTGCTGCCTGAAGAATGACGTGTAGGAATTCCTTAAAGTAAAGGAAACTGTGAAATCTGCAGTGTAATGCAAATTTTTCAAATACAAAGCTCCAACATGCGCATTTTTATCTCGGAAACCTCAATTTTAGTTTCTATTTCACGATTCTAAAAGGGTGTTTAGCTGCCTCGTAGGTTTTTATACAATGAGTATTTGCATGAGCAAAATTGACACATCACCCTATGCCTTCACTGTAGGTGGCCTATGAGCATGTAATCATTGTGTCAGTGTTGTTTGGCTTAAGGGTAAAGGGTCCGTAGCCATGTCAAAATCAACTAGCTATGGCTTGTAATAACACAGATCTAGTGGAAGTAGTTGCCGCTTTTAGCCAGCGGCTTCCCATAGGCTCATGTGTTACTTCAAGCCCCAGTCACAACTTTCAGACACGGCTTGACTTTGTCCTAAATTCACAGGTTCTTGTGGTGTCGACTGACAATCTGAAATTAGTGGCTTCCTTCAAAGTCACCACCGGTACAAGCAATACAACAGCCATCAAATCCATTGAGTTTGCAAGGCGGGGCAAGTAAGTGAGTTTTGGGATCGTACCAACTGCTCATAACGGGCCACTTTGATTTTGCTGCCATGTACCAAAAGTGTTTGCACAGTGAAAGCTGAGTCCCAATGTGTCACATGGCCTCCCTGCACCGCAGTATGCCTGTCACATGCTGATCACATGTATATGTCACATGTCCCTTGACACAGCTGTTTCCTAGTCAACACGGCTGACCGCATCATCCGTGTCTATGAGAGTGGGGAGGTACTTGCCTGCGGCAAAGATGGCGAACCTGAACCTATACAGAAGCTGCAAGATCTGGTCAACAGAACACCCTGGAAGAAATGTTGCTTCTCTGGTGACGGGGAGTACATCGTTGCTGGTAAGTTCAAGATTGAGGTTTTACCCGATGTCAAATTCGCAAATTGAAATCGATATAGAAAATATCAGATTCTCTTATGTAACACTTGAGAGTTGAGTCATGTCGGAATCAACTAGGTACGCATAAGGAGAAGGACCCACATCCATGGGAAGTGGTTTCAGCCACTAGCTACTGGCTTGCATTGGGACACATGCCTTTTGCAGCCGTAGCCTTAACTTTCAGATTCGGCCTAACTGCACACCTGTGGTTTGCTCTCTCCAGGATCGGCCAGGCAGCACGCCCTCTACATCTGGGAGAAGAAATACGGCAACCTAGTGAAAATCCTCCACGGCACTCGAGGGGAGCTGTTGCTGGATGTGGTCTGGCATCCTGTGCGGCCAATCATAGCGTCCGTCTCAAGTGGTGTTGTGTCCGTCTGGGCCCAGAACCAAGTGGTGAGTATCCTATCAGCGTCTTCGATTGGAGTGAGATTCCGCGTAATAGAAAGTAAAGCTTTAGGCGATTAATGTGATTTGTTACACGGGGCATAGGCCATGAAAGCCATGATTAATCTTATTGCTTAAAGTAATTCCTATCTATAGGGGAACTGACAGACCTATTTGTATCTTTTGGGTGTGATTTGGACAGAACCAGCAGACTGTTGACCGTGATTCTTGTTTGAAAGAAATTGACAGTAAACATTTTGAAAACTCTGCCTGTCTGTCTGTCTGTCTGTCTTACTCCTATCGTGAATGCCTGTGTGCAAAATACTAGGTCTAGTTCCCATGGTAATCTTGTTATACTATTTAGTAAAACCAGATCGGGTCAGCATAGATTTGTAGTCCGTCGAGCGTATGCCTTCAATGCCCTCCCCGTAACACTTAAATGTCCTTTACCAAATACTATCACCAGTTTTACAAACATGTACAGAAGCCTGGCTTTTTAATAACAAATAACGAGGTGTATTGGGCCAGGTGTGTTTTTTAATTTTTGTTTTTATTTTTGGTTATTGTTTTACCAGTAGGTTTAAATTTACTATTTGGTACATATCTATAGTATATATTTTTTTTCTCTGACTGTGTAAATGTTATTGTTATTCTTAGGAATTTTAATCATTGTATATACATGCTTGGCATCTCTGAAAAACAGTAGTAACTGAGAGGTTTCCCCAGGGTAAATAAATGAAAAACTCATTCATCTTGTTTTGCCGGCATCTCTAGGAAAACTGGAGTGCTTATGCGCCCGACTTCAAGGAGCTGGATGAGAACGTGGAATATGATGAGCAAGAAAGCGAATTTGACATTGAAGATGAGGACAAGTCTGTGGAAGATCCAGTGGGTAAGCCTGCAGCTCAGGAAGGCATCTGCTAGAGGCAGGGAGGAGGGCAGGGTCTTAATGGATGCCATGTGCATGTATGAACAACAGAGGGCGCTTTCTGAGCCACCTTAGGGTTGCACTACACAACAGTGCGAAATCAGACCGAAATAGCGCCGCCTGTTGACTCTTGGGAAGAGATTGGCCTCCGTTGTTTCCACTGGAAATTCAAGATTACGGCCGGAAGATAACTTTTTGTTTCAAAAATGTGGGGGTTAGCCACAGAATTTTTTTTTATATTTCCCCGAAGATACCCCCAAAATAGTAGTAAAACTATGTGCTCAGCTCTGAATGTAGCCACCCTCCTCTATCCAAAATAGGCCCGCATTTCTGGGCTTGTTGTGAAAGAAATACAAGAACTGGAAACTATCAGTCCCAAATTCGGAATTTACAGAAATATTTCTATGATCCCTCCTGATTATGGCATGTCGTATTGTAGAAACCCTTTGGGACCACAAAATATTAATGAGCTCGCGCGCAGTAGTTGAGTATTCTCTTTCTTTGGCTAGTCCCACAGCTGCCCTAGGCAAATATTATCCAGGATGTCTCCAACTGCAGCGTAGATTACAGTGTGTGTCTTGGAAGCTTACTATCAGTCCGTTACCTTTTCATGTGTTCCTATATCAGATGTTGCTGTAGAAGATGAAGAGGTTGATGTTCTCAGCGTGGAACCAATCGCCGCATTTCTTAGCAGGTGGGTGTTACCCCCAACCGACCAACCACCCACCATGCCCACCCTTGCAGTCCCACCAATCTGTGAGAAATAAGACTTTTGAAGTAGCCAATTTCTCAACCCCGGGGGCACCCTGTCCATGATGTGTGTGTGCGTGGTAAAACTGTTTGAGACCAAAATCCACACCCTTGAAAAATGGAGGCCAAATCTGAAGATGAAACCTGTGGCAGTTTTGGGTGAGGGAGAACTGGGAGGTAGACTGTTATTTCTCAAACTAACAACTTCATTCGCACCCACCATGGAAAAAGACCAAACAGTTGTGTTTCACGTTTCAACTCTTGAAATTTGCCAGAAGTTGTTGCAAAGTCTACCTGAATGTTGCAAGAATCTCTGCAGCATTGTCTGAACACTTTGCAACCCTGCTTCAACACTTACATGCTTCATCTATTCAACCCTACTCGCGTGTTTTGAAATCTGTTTTCATCACTGCTGTAGTACTTCTACAACCGTTGCAACACTGCCTCAACTCTGTTGTTTGTACCGAGAACCCTTTGAGACTACCCTAACACGAGTAGTTGATCATTTTTGCATTGAAAGCCCCTTTCTTCAACATTTTCTCAACACTTTCACAACACTACATTAACACCATGACAATCACCTCTTTGTATTATCCAGTGATGAGGAGGCAGAGGATGAGAGAGCCCTACTTTACCTGCCCATCTCACCAGAAGTTGACGAACCGGAGGAACCAACTTGGGCACCAACCATAGACCCCGTGAGTTAAAACAAGAAAACAAACAAAACCGAGAAGTTTTCCACTCAACCTTTGGCCCAGGTTTATAAGTCATTTGATACTGTATTTTGAAAGACAATGAGCTTTTGTTTTTAAACACTAAGATTTTAGTTTATTTATTTTTCCCCCTGTGCATTTGTTTTGGAAGACTGATGAACCTCCCCAGGCAGAGAGCCAGAAAAGAACAGCTCCCAAAGATCCAGCCCTGCTGTCGCCCAAAAAGAAAAAAGTCAAAGTGGTCGACGTTGAACTTCATGGGGAGGCCTCTGATGGTAAGAACGGAATCCTGTCCAACAATTATGTATACACGTATGTAAGGTCAGAACCCGTATCCACCCTCAAGATATTCATCCGGTTGGCGTGAAACCCTAACCTGCCTCCCCATCCCACTCTGGGGAAAAAAGACACTCTGAGAGGTCTTTCAAGTGTCTGAAGTTCTTGGATGATATCCACCGTAATCCTTCTCAGTGGAAGTGTACCAAAAAGTCTTCATCATGTTTTTTAGGGAAATGTGAGCCCATTCTGAAGAGTTCCTCTGTTTCACATAATACCCTGTTGCCAATTTTGATTTCCAGAAATCCACCCTCTTCTGTCAAACAAAAGTGACGGCAAGACGAAGCGGAGGGGTGCTCCTCCTGGAAAACAGAGGGGCGGTGTGGATGGCAGACGAGGCAAATCAAAACATCGGAGACACCTGGATGATTAGACATCAATACTAACTGTACCTCCCAGGACATTTTGTTGTAGCAATTACAGTAATTCTCCAAAACTCCCTGCCATATTGAACCCCATTGGCAGCGATGCCTGTATACCACTGAAATGCTGCCCTGAAGACAAAGCGCCCTCAAGAGGCCTTGCACATAATCAGTGGGGCGGCCATCTTGATTTCTCTACACAGATTTCAGCAAGATGCAGATTGAGGAGTAATTTCATGTGACACATGAAAAAAGGGAGAAATCAGATAATGTTGTAAAAAGTTTGACATTTAGGAGGATTTCCAAAACTCTGAAAACTCACTTCCATAAAAATGATCCTCTACTTACCGTACCATGCTCAGAATTTTGGTTGGCTGTCTCTTTTTTCTATTCCCCTAAAAGATTTGTTTGACTTAGATGTACATGTACATATATCTTATGTAAATATTTGTAAAAAAAACCTGTAAAAAAACAAACAGCTAGAAGATACCGCTGAACAGAATAATAAGCCAGCACTGCATATGATTTAGAATGTTGGGAATAAAATAGGACACAACCAAGAAATACCAATCATCACTTCTTGTCTTCTTCAGTACATGGCAACAGATTTGCTGAATCCACAATAATACTCTACACAGCCAATCATGTGAGGAAAACCTACCGATGTTTACTTTGACGGCATTTTAGTTCCCTGATTCAGGTTTGTTATCAAGTCAGCTGCAAGCCACCATAGTAAGCCTTTTGCGAGTTAAGTTAGAGTAAAATCTAGTATCTGAGTTATCTGATTGAACATAAGCATGATTTGAATTCCCCAGACTAAAGACACTGTTGCTATGCCTCGTGATTCAGGGCAAGCATCTCGGGAATGGACTGGTGCCTTTGTGCCCTTCTTATCCATTGACACCAGCAGTATTGGTGCAAAGCGTCTCTTATGTAACTAAACAAAAGCTGGCCCCAAATGATGAGGTATAACAACTTTGTTGTTAGTATGGCGAATTCAAATTATGTTCATGTGAATTTAAAGAACCCAGTGTACCAGATTTTATTTTAAACTTAACTCACAAAAGGTCTTATTGACTCGCAAGTCATTCAGTCCTAAGTCAACTCACAGGCTCATTGAATGAACTGCATTAAAGGCATTCCTTTGTCATCGCTCTTCTCTTCAGTTCAGACCAGGTTTGAGAATTAAATTGCGACTGACGCGCTTCCAGATCTGCAGTTATTCTTTACATGTGCACTGTATGGAATCCAAGGCAAGGCACTGACAAGACCGACAAGGAATGAAGATCAAGGCTGGCCATGATCACTGTGCTTTGTAGAAGGGCTTGTGTGTGGCCAGGTTGAAATCTTTACTGACACAAAAGTTTTTCAATAGTACATGACTTGTAACATCTCACTTCCCCAATTCCAGTGGGTAACTGTGCAGAGTACCGAACTGTGATGTCTCTTGGAGCTTGAAGCAGTGGAAACCAGTGGAGTGTGCACTGGTTCTCTTATGCCTTTCACACACAATGGTGTGTGATGTATAACACTTTGATGCTCTGTAGTTTGCAATCAGTACATGCAGTTAACTTGCGTGTACACCATTCTCTTGATAGTGATTCAGGCAGCATTAGAGTCATCCATGCTGTAAATAATTGCAAATCTTTTAAAAAACCCTACTGAAGAATGGCTATTGTAATTCCCTGAGCTCTTACCCTCTATAGTAACTGTGTTGGTTTTAATTGAGCGACCCGACGTGTGTGATTGACCCCATTGCTTCCAGTGGATCCTTGCAATATCGGTAATGAATAAAAACATATGCATGGCTTGAATTTGTAACCTTTTGTAATGACATGAATGAGTGTTTTTTATGCAATCAGTGTACAGGTTTGATTAGCAGTGCATTGGGTGACTGATTTGAGGCCAGAACTTGCATCTATACGGATGGGGGTGCAGGCTAGTTTTTCTATGGGATAGCTTTTGCTTGAAAATGCTGGCTGGACCACTGACTTGTCAAAGAGGTGAGGAAGAGGGCAGGCTTAATGACAGAAGTAGCCACCTGACATACATGTGTACGTAATGGACAAGCTTGCCAGTCAATGTGTGGACCTCTGAAAAAATAATGTCCACACGGTGCGGGTAGTGAAGACTGTGAACCTGCCTATGTCTACACGTTTCCCTATCTCTAAAATAATTGGTTAAAAGGCATCTTTACGGTGGGATTATCTGTTGCAAAATGGAAAAAAGGTAAAGAGAATAATGAAAAATCTAGCTCAACAGAGTTTTTACAGTTAAAAAAAAAGGAGTATGTTCAGTTTTCTTAAGTATGTGAGAAGAAAGGAAAAATCCACACTGAGCATGCAACACTGACAAGTGAACACGTGTGTTCATCTATCCCAGGAGAACGTGAACAATTGCATCAATGTTGATATTGGGTTAGCTGGGACTTCAAGGCGTATGGCAGGCTAGCAGGGCCAAATTGGAGGATGAACTCTTGCGCTACACATGATGCAGAAAGCAGAGCCAACGCATGCTACACATGATGCAGAAAGCAGAGCCAACGCGTGCCACACATGATGCAGAAAGCAGAGCCAACACGTGCTACACATGATGCAGAAAGCAGAGCCAACGCGTGCTACACATGATGCAGACAGCAGAGCCAACGCATGCTACACATGATGCAGAAAGCAGAGCCAACGCGTGCTACACATGATTCAGAAAGCAGAGCCAACGCAGCCCTTGGACTAACGAGGCTCTAGTTTTCTTTTCACCAAGGTTGGATGGTGTGGCTTCATAGGCAGACACTGTGTCCTCGTAACGCTAAATGCCCTACCAACAGATTTCCGTTAAAGTCTGTAAAAAAAGGAATAACTGATGGTGGGGGGGGGCCAACATCCTGAAAATCCTACAGAAACAATACACAATGTAATTTGAGTAACAAACAATTTATAGTTTGAGCCATAAGGGTTGTTTACTTACAAAAATATGAAGCTTTTTACAGGTTTATTTTCAATATGTGTATTACAAAAGCACTGTAACAAAGACAATAAATAGATATAAAAAACTGATCCACTGAGGTCCAATTTCCAGTTCTAGACCATAAAAACCGTAGAGCGCGGGACAGTGCAGGACAGTGTAGGGCAGTGCAGGACAGTGTAGGGCAGTGCAGAAAGTCCAGGTGTGGAGTCAGGACAGTTAAATTGACTAAACGCAGAGAGTGAAATTACATTGCCATTGTAGAGTAGAACATCAGATGCATATTTGCCTATTATTTACCTTATTTGGACAAGTGGATATAGTCCTAGTGAATCGCAAACTACAGGTAGACACCGGCACAGTTGGAGCACTTTTTGCAACAAGGGCAGCATCTAATTTTATTAAGTGCATGTACATGTATGTACACACGTCTGTGCCACAAAACTGCTGCAAAGTATTCCTGATGTTACTAAATTTCACCCACTGTAATGGGTTGTTTGGTGAGCTTATATTTCATTTCACATGCAATGCACATTTCCATTTCTCGTCTGGTCCAGCAGAAGAAATAATCTTGCCAGTCAACTGGAAAATTCCTTAACAGCACGTGGTACCAAACAGATTAGAAACTATTATGAAATCAGAGATATCAGACGTGGCACTCTCTATGCGAAAATGCCACTCCAAAAAATGCCAGGACTTCTTCCATTTTCCATTGTTTTTCCAATTCCACAAAGTGTGAGAAAACCTCCAGTAGTCAATGTCAATCCCGTTCCTCAACAACAAACTCATGCTCAGAAAGAAACTGTTTCCCTCTTGTAAATTTTTCTTCATTTCCGATTTCGCTCTGGGAAACAAAATGGTACAGTCTGTCAAACACAGGAACGTGTATTTTGTAAAGTAGCAACTTGGCAGGTAGAGTAATCAGTGAATAATTTTAGACAGAATTTAAGTTTAGTTTATCTCATGGAGTTGGTTGTGTGAAATATGGGCTTTTCAAAACCTTCCAGCGACACCTTCAAGCTTAGTATACACTTTCCCACATGCAGTTCAATTTCTGTTCAACATAATAATCAAACACACGACACTTCCTACACGTTTTTATTCCGCAGCGATAGCTAACGGTCTTCCCGGCGGAATCCCTTCCACGGCAGTACTTGAGCCCGCAGGGGTACCAGCCAACGCAGATTGGTAACCGGCAGACGCACGCCACTGCAGTGTCTTTGGTCTTGTCGCAGCGAGGAGTTGTGAAGAGCGGACAGCTATGTGTGGCATCTAGGAGAGCTGTATAGGTTGCATTGTTCCCTGTAGTTGAAGAATAAGAAAACAGCTAATGGTATGACAAAAACGGCCTGAGCTACAACCTCCAGTGCCGTACATGTGGGCAAATACAGTGTCAGCGGATTGTGAAAAATCCACTGCACAATCATCTTTTTGTGTTTTGTTTTTTTCTTTGCTTTAAATGTCTCTTATATCATTGTGTAAATTGAAATTTCAGGTTATCTATGTATGCTGTTTAATTTTCTTAAACTATGTGGTCCTTTTTAAATTCTGTTGTAAAACTGCCCTGCAATTCAGCTTTGGGCTGCTATTGGCAGTTTGAATTAAATACGTTTAAACCAGCAATAATAATAAACATATGTACATACATGTAGGCACAGCATTTACACAGTAGGTAAGCCTTCAAAGCCTCATAAACTTTGAGCAGAAGCACCCCCTCATAGGTTAAAAAGAGCCATGTTGGTTGGGTTTTGTAATTTTGTTGCAACCGTAACATGGAACCAGTGAAGGGCAATTCTCACCAAAGGAGCCTCCGTTGCTAAGAAATTTGCGCCCTCTCTTGGTCCAGCTCGGGGCTCATAAATGTCAACAGTATGAGAACAATTTGCAGCTAGCATGCAGTACTAGATTTTAAAGATTTAACAACATGAAGGAGAACATCATCTAAGGCTTTTTCAACACACCTGCTGCCCAGGCCTTCAGATCAGAGTCCCTGGTGAAGATGCGACCTTTGGCCTCAGAGCAGACATTGAGAACCCAGGGGCTGAATCTGGATGCCAGGCTGACATCCACCCCTAAATTCATGATCAGTCGCTCCTCCCCTTTGTCCTCCTCTGGGTTGCGTATGGTGCCAGGATTTTTCTGTAATGTTTGCAGAAAAATGCCCAGAATGAATCAGCTAAGTCTGGAGTACATTATACGACATCTGAGTTTAAATTCAAACTGGTTAAAATTGAAAATCCAGAAACTCTCTGTTTTTCTGATGCATTCACAATAAAATTATTCCCAATTTACTGACAAATACATATATCCTTTATCATACTGGTGCCACATAATGACTAGAACACAGTTGTGCTGATTCCACTGAAATGTGCACATTCAAATGAAAACCTACGCCCCATTATGAAACTTTAGTGGTATCCAGTGCCATGCAACCGAAGTAGGAATACACTGTACATGTGAACATAACCAAACTCTGTGGATATGTGTGCATTGACCTTCAAGTTGACTTGAATCGGATGCAAGCGATACTGATGAAGTATGAACACATTAACTGCTTATTGAGCTCTCAAAATCAGGCTCATAATGTACGCAATTGCACATGTACCTAGGCTAACCTGCAGACCACGGCCTACATTAGCACATTCAAATTTTCCAGACAAAGTTCTGCTAATTTCTCTAAAGGATGTTCATGCACATGTACATGTATATATGTATGGGTATTTACATGAAGTCAGTTACACACACTGACTTCACAAGCCCTGCGGTTACACAAAGTTTGGCATTTAGAGAGATGGACAGGTACTTGTATTAGCGGTCACGCTTATCAACTGAACTGTTATTTATGACGTTGGTTGTAACTCTAGAATATTTCACAGTACTTTGAAGTTTACATATGAAAAATTGGTTTAGCATGTAACAAGTACATGTATGTCACACCACTTTCACAAAATCTGGTGCCATATTTAGCCTGACAATACCCTATGATAAATAGCAGAGAACACACATGTAGGTAAAAACTAAACACACTGTTCCTATTAGTTTCAGGATACTTGAGTTTAATTTTTTGTGACATATTAACAAAATCTGTTAACCCACCCTCAATAACACACTCGTTAACAAAATGTATCGCAACGACGCTTTATGTACCAACTCCCTTGGAATGTAAGAAATTGCATCCCAAGCATCAAAGAATTACCCGTGTAGGCCTACATGTACATGTACCTGTCTCAGTTTTGACATGGCATCTGCCGAGATGAACTCAGACTTGAGGAACTTAAAGATGAAGCACATAGTTTGGTACTGGCTCTCGTCCGCCCTCTCCTCCTCGCCGAGTACAATCATCTTAAAAATTTGCACTTCCTGAAAAACAAACAGATTCAGCCATTCCCTCGTGGGATTGGGGCACTTTATTCATTCCCTTGGCAGGTTACTAAAAATGTTTTCTGGATTATTCCAAATACCCCAGACATGTTTGGTTGTGGTATGTATGGGGAACCGTGATACATGGTACATTTTCATGCAAAAGTGTTAACATACTTTGGACACAAAATCTGAACAGTGATTGTTTGTTAGGTATCAATTCTAAGTCAAATGAATTGTCAATGTCACATGTAAAGTATTTTGTATGGACAAATTACATGTACATGAATGGTTGGTAATGTGTGACCATGACAGCTGACAGAATGGCAGTGGCAGAAACTCTTGCAATTGCCAGACAGCAACTCCAGAACAAGAGCTCACTCACAAACATTGTATTCGTCATTGATCAATGCAAAGACATGTAGGCCCCAACTGACAGTATCAGCATTTAAGGGAGACCTTGAATTCTATCAGGAGGAAATTAAATGTACAGGACATGGGGGAAAAGGCTATTCCTAAGTAATTACAAGCCCATCAAACAGTAAGTGACAAATGACAGCTGCCCTATGATTGGTCACTAGAACAGAAACAATTGGACCAATCACAGTGTGGCTTTTATCTGTAGGTGACAGGAACACAAAAGGAAAACATTAGGAGCTGTGTTGCGATTGATCAAGCTATAGCAAAGCTGAGTTATATCATATTGAGAGTACATGCTCAGTGATGCTGCTAATATTTTGTAATTAATGTGGATTGGCAAAATGCTCAAGAATTTCACTATTTTAATGAGGATATAAGGTGAACGAACCTCCCCACTTGATATCTATATGTAACTTCCCCAAGAAGGCATGCATGACATTCGGCTGCACAAATAGCTGTGATGAAAGGGTAAGTTGGCACAATCAAAACAGCCAAAATGTGTCTATGGGAGTTTGTACATTGCTGTCTGGCAGGTTTATACAGTTCTGGAAGAAGTTACACCCCAACTATCTGACGATTGCTTCTGTCCCAACTATAGTTGGAACAGTCCAAACTATATTGCCACAGTTGGGCTGGCCAAACTATTGTTGGGCAATCTCTGTCGAAAATTTCTTAACCTTCTCCAACAAGTTGTTAGTGCAGTTCACACCTGCCATTAGGCCCAGTTCACCTTAAGTCTGGCACTTCATCTACATGCACTTTCATGTCTATATAAACACTCGTTTCAACAAGCACAAGTTGTTGTAAACAAAATGACTTTGGCATATGTACACACTGGTTGGGCCAGCTGGCCCAACTACAGTCGAGACTGATGGCAGTGATGCTATAGTGGAGAAGCAACACCTGTCCACTTAAGCCAGATGTGAGTCATGTGGGTAGGGCCTGGTATATCTTACCATGGAGAAAGTTTTATTTCTCCATGATCTTACCAGGCATTGCCAGGCATGTACATGTACGTAGACTAGACGTGGACTCACAAACGTAGATTAAGACTGAGGTTCAAGAAATGTAAAATATAAGGACAAGAAACTAAAAGTTTTCCACATGCCATAAACTTGGTTATTTTACACTGAGTTAATGTTAAAATAGCTTACCGATTTAAAGTCAATCAACATATCCAGCAATGTTCCATCCAGTTTCTGAAATTTCAAAGTGATTGTGTTTTCCACTGGGTTCCCATTTAATGACTCCTGGATCAGATCACCACCTTTGTTTTTAACATTAATGACAAGCTGACACGATACTAAGTTGGTAAATGCTAGTACGGCAAAAAGCTGAGCTAGTATAAATGGATAACAAATTTTTAATTTTGCAAATTTGTTTGGACGAAAGCCTTTCTTTAGGACCGACGCCATTTTGTCTATTATTAACAGAAGGCGTACTTTGAGGCAGTAACATTTTACACTAGGGAGGGGTTTTAGACGTTCAACGCTTAAGTTTTACGGAAAACAAATAGCTTGTCTGTTACCTCCGTAAAACTATTTAAATTTAAGTTAAGTAAGTGTTTATTCAAATTCAATCCAGAATTTTTCGAAATTTGTGATCGAAATATTATCTTACTTAATAAAGTGTAACGAACTCTACCATCATCCCACCCTTTGTGATAATGGAATCACCACTATTGCACGGTCTCTCTGCAATAATCGGCTCCGAAGGTGCACCGTTCTCGTTTCGAGCTAAGGCCGAATCCGGCGACGTGTACTCTTGTTGGATACCATCCAAATTTTATTTCAGCATCAAAACGTAGCTGAATATCTTCTCTGTCCGAAATGGCCTCAACTTCCGAGCTGGCTTGCGTCTACAGCGCTCTCATCCTTCACGATGACGACGTTGCCATCACTGTAAGTTGACACAATGACCATGCACGCATGTATAGCATGTTCATGTACGTGTACATGTACAGTCAATGCGGAACATGATTGAAGAAAGGCTTCTGCAAAATGTTCGTTCAGGGAATTAACTGGCGGGAATAGCCAAATATCAGAGTTGTTACATGTAAATGTTACAGACAGGCGTATAAACAGGATAAAAGTCACTTTGGAAAGAAATTCCTGATGATGAAATAGGCCTACAGTAGCATTGCATGCCTAGTTTGTTGCTTGGTGTCGGGTCAACTTGACCGTTTGCCAACTCGAGTCAACTCGACTCTCGACCAACTCGACTCTCTACCAACTCGATCATGCAAACGGTGCAACAGGGACAGGGTATAGAAGGAATGCATTTTCCCTAGTTCTGGATCGCACTTGTCATTCGTTTTACTGCGCGTGATGTGATCTGTGCATGTGCAGAGTGTGGTGACTGACAGATTTCTGAGTTGCATTTCAGTTGATTTCGTGGGTTCATTGAGCCAAAATTAGCATCCATAATTTTCGCGATCTGGAACCGATCCGATCCGTTATTTTTCCCCTTTTAAAATCTATTTTTAAAGGAAAGAGTTTGTCTAATAAGTCCATGTATCAATCATGCGGTCGAGTTGGTCAGCGGTCAAGTTGACTCGACTTTGAAGTCGAGTTGGTCAACAGACGAGTTGGTTCAACAGTTGAGTTGGTTAGGAGTCGAGTTGACTCGAGTCAAATTGGCAAACGGTCGAGTTGACTACAACCGTTTGTTTCCCAACATGCCCAGTGCTCGTCTTTCATCACTGTTTCAGGGGAGGGTTGGAAATTTTTTGAGTGATGTGAGTGATCATGGCTGGTCACTCACATCACTCAAGAATTTTTCAACCCTCCCCTGAAAAATGCTCTATGCTGTATCAGGTAATGCAAGGAACATAGAGGATTGATGAAATTTAGGCCGAATACTTGAGTTATCGTTGACATGTTTGTTGGGAAAGAGTTTCATATATGGACAACACTTGACATACTTGAGGCCCTTTGCACAAACGACTCGACCCGGGGATGACTTGACCAACATTCACATGAGAGTAGTCTAAGATAACCTGAGTCATGTAAGTGCTTTTTAACCCTAACCCCCCCAAGGGTTGCTGGCCCTAACCTTCCCCATTCACACACTTTGTGCACAGAGGCTGTTGGACTTTGTTTTTCTCAGGTATGCCAAACCCAATGCAAAAGCCAGCTGTTTCGGCCTACCAGACCTATCCCCACAGAATTAACCACTTTACTACTGTTTAATTCTGTGTGGTTGGGGAAGGTTAGGGTTAAGTAAATGCTTCAAAATTGGAAAGAGTTCCATATGGACGCCGCTTGACACCTTATGCACAAACCCCACATGTATGAGACTGGTCTGAACAATTCTGTTTCCTCAGTAAACGACTTGGGTTTTCCCTCCTACATTCAGTTTTTCTGGACATGTTTTTGCTCTTTGCCGGCTAATAGGTCACTGTAGGGAATAATTACTGGCATCCGTGTATGGAACTCTTCCCTCAGAAGTGTCTTAGCTACATTTCTCTTTTTAGGACATGTTATCACTTTCTGTCACAGCTGTTATAACATTAAAGGGAAAAATCAGTGACTCTTTCCGATGTGAGTGGCATCTTACAGGATGCCTTGAAGGATGTGAAACAACTAGTTGGGCTTATGTGTGCATACATGTACATGTAGTCAGACGTTGAATCATTATTTCTACAATATATATTTATTTCTACAAACGACTGAAAGGATCATCTAAACATTACCTTAACCTGAATGGAAGGTCATTCCACAACACAAACCCTCCCCCGGCATATTTCCTTTCCAAGCTTTTATCTTTGTCCGCAGGCTGACAAGATCAGCTCGCTGATCAAAGCTGCCGGACTGACCGTAGAGCCGTTCTGGCCTGGCCTTTTTGCCAAGGCTCTTGAAGGGCAGAACATCACATCCCTGCTGTCCAGTGTTGGTAGCCCATCAGCAGGTCCAGCTGTTGCTGGTGGTGGCGGTGGTGGGCCAGCTGCCCAGGAAGCTGCAGGTAAGACCTGATAGGCATCGTGCACAACTATGCCCTCATTGGTGAAAAACAGAGAGGCTGGGCTAAGCTGATACTGGGCCCATGCAGCACCACTTGTTTTTTTTGTTTTTTTAGGGTGGGTTTGTGCTATTCACAATGTGAGCATTGCACCACTTGCACACCTGGATAGTATTGATTGGAAACAAAGCACCCTCTCTCATTCATGCCAAGAGATCTGGGCCTTGCAAGCATTTTGTGTCACTTGTCAGAGCGACATCACTGCACAGTTGCCTCAAGATCTAAAATGTCAAGTATCCCCAATGGCAAATCACCTGGTTGTGTGGTTCTGTCGTCATGCACCTAGGATCCCTTAGCAGCATTGCTTAATGGGACCAGCTCCCTTGGTCTCAAAATGGGCAGTTACTCGGTTCCTGTTGATCGCCCAGTGCAACAGGGTGCACCAGACCTCTAGAATCAGCTGCACTTCGCTGGATCTACATGTAAAAGAGCTACATGTAGGGTTAAATGTAAAAGAATTCTTTGTCTTGATGTGTCGTTTGCTAAGACACATGGTTTGTAATGATGCCATTTCATTGTATACTTACCTGTACATGTGCCTTCCCCACAAAAACAGTCCCCAAATACTTCTGGTTTGTTGGCATTTTTCACAAGGGTCCTGGAATTGTGGTTTTGTTTCTGATCAGGTGAGGAGAAGGAAGAGAAGAAGGAAGAAGAGGAGGAGGAGTCTGATGATGACATGGGATTCGGTGAGTAGGATTGGACTTGAAATCACCACTTCCAGCAGTTGCCTTTTATAAAGCGCAGGCATCTCTTCATATAATAAGATTGGAAGGACTGGTTGAATGTACTTTGTTTTACCCAAAACTTCATGAAAGAACTGTAAAAGGAGCGAACGACAAAGGACTCTGTAGTTCAGAAGTTGAAATTGTTTTTGATGAGTGGTCTTTACATTAAGAGTTAACTGTGCATGCAAAATGATTCTGCATCTCAGATTTTTTTTTCAAGGAAAAAAAATGACGTTTGTGTTACCAACTTCAAGATTTTTCTAAAAGTAATAACCCCTTTCCCCCAAGTACCCCTTTACTCAAATGAATGCCTTTACTGTTTACACAGCGTTAAGGTTATACTTAAAGGGAATGCGAAAGCGAACTAAATGTTATGTGACAAAAGATTGCAGCAAAATTTCGCTAAATGTTTTCAACTCTTATGAATTGGTAATGCAAATATTTGATCAGACGTCACAAATTTGTGTTTGTGTTGGCTTTTGCACGAAGCATGAACCGGCCTTGACTATTATCTTGAACTCCACTAGTGGCTACGATAAAGGCCAAACCTTCCGGTACTTCTCATGAATAAACCTCTCTTCCTAAAGACGGGCTCAAACTGCAGGCAAATACGAAAGTAAAGCAAATTCAATGGAACGTTTTCAGTGAATTTCCCTTTTCCTCTAAAGGGTTGTAAATTTCGCCGCTCAAAGATTTGAACTGATGATACAGTTTCACGTTTGCGTTTGCTTCCGAGCCAAGTATGAACCAGATTTAGTACATGTATTGCCTTTCTTATCTGGTCTGTTAACCTCAAACGAATAGACAGTGTGAGGTCCCAAACTTCACTTTACTGTCACGAGTCCTTTTTATACACTGCACTAAAAGCATTGGCTTTGGTTCAAATAGACGTGCAGGTATAAGCAGCTTGATAGCAACATTGCCACTTCCCATTGACCCGTGTGTTATCCTTAGCCACAGCCAGTCGATTCAGATATTGCCCAAGCTGCCATGACACTCCAGTAAGTGTCATCCTTCCACCTTTGCCTTTTTTCTTAGGCTTGTTCGACTAGAATGTTCCGGCTTGTGCAGTGCACGGAGATGTCACCTGGGTGTCTGTACCTACCTGGTCCGAGTGTGTCAAGCGAGGGGGCAGTTTACAATCCCAGCCTGTTCACAGACATGTTTTGTAGTGGAATAAAGAGAACATTCTTTTAAGTACAACTGCAACTGGCTTGTCCAGTGTGATTTTTTTTTTTGCAAGTCGTGTTTGAGAACATGTGACCTGCTGAATTGGCCCCACCGAGTCTTAGAAATCAAGAATTTGGCGTGCCTTTGAAAATTAGATTTAGCTGCACATAATAACTGCGTTGTCTCTTTCAAGTTTACCAGTTGTGCCTTTATGGAAAGTTAATGTGGGGTATGGGGTAAGAAGGAATCCTTATTTCGTGAAAAGCAGAAAGACTTCATGGCCTTGATCACACAAATATTGTGCACATAGGAAGTGGCAATGAGGCCACAGGTGCTCGTCTGTGTTGCGAGGGACTGTGAGTGACCAGAAGAGAGTTTGATTTCCCATGGCCGTCAGGGGAGGTCCTTTGGGCGCAACAGTCCCTCTGGCGAATAGACGTGCACCAGTGACCTCATTGCCAGTCAATAGATACATGCATATGTATACTAAAGTACATGTATCTAAATTTCATTTGGTGATCACGTTAAATGCCTCTTTGGCGTTCCATAATTTCTGGAATAGTTTGCTTTAAGCAGTCGAAACAAGATGTATGGATTTAAATAGGCCAAATGCAAATACTAACTGCCGTTTGGTAACCCTTGCTAGCGGGCTTGCATATGATTTGTCACTCCACGACCTCTCGAACTTATTGGGGCCCAGCCTAAAAAATGCTGTCTGTCCAACCGGTTAATACTTCGGTTGGTATCCCACAATGCAGTGTGACAATGTAGTGGCTTAGTTGAACAATGCGAATGAAGGTTCACTGTTGAAACGTTATGAAGAATTTAATCTTGCTGATGCAAATTGGCTCTTTTGACAGTTCAAATTCGTGTCGCAAACTTAATCTCTGCATTACCTATGACCCATTTGGGGCAAACTCTGACCCATTTGGGGGACCTCGAGTAACCCAAGATCGCCTGTTACCACAGATCGCGCATGGGTGTCCTAACCAGTGACGAGGCCACAAGTGAGCGTGGAAAGTAATCGCACATACTGCGCGAGAGACACTTTGGGGCATAAAGCCTTGAGGGCGTTCTCCGTTATTAGAAAGTCAAACAGAAGCACAGACATAAAAATGCATAGACCACCAGTCATACTCGTGTAACGGCGATTTTGCAAAGTATGAGCAAAATGATGGGCGACAAGTTAAGACGAGGCCAGTGAGGTTGGTGCAACTGCACATGCGTACTTTTACCCAAATGTCTCACGCACCATGTTCACGCACCATTTATGGATTTGATAGTTTGCAAATTCACTTGCCTCCAAAAATAGCCAGTATCTAACCACAACGTAAATAATACACCTCCGCTCCTATTACCTGCGGAGGGGGTTCGACTTGTGTTGTCTTGTGCCCTCCCCCCACATACACAGTACTGTAATTGGACTGGGCTTAGCCTAAATTAATGAACCAGTCTATTAACGACTTGCCCCAAGTTTGAAAGTCATTCTTGCTATTCGGATCGGGGCGGATCCGCACCATCCAGCCACCTGTAGACCGACAGCGCCCACTGAAATCAACGTCTGGGTACTGTGGTTTGACGGTGCCGGACGAAAACTAAAACCATGGGTGTAATCTGGGGAGTGATGTCGGGATGAGCTTTTATTTGATATTGTGCAAAAAAATGAAGTTGCCGTGGCAATGAAGCGGCAGGTTGGTTGGGATCATTTCATCAGGGGTGTGTGTTAGCTTCCCCTCACTAGAAACATTTAGGCCTACGTCCTCTGAGCGACGACCTTAAAGTGATTAAACCAGCGTGAAAAGAGGAATAGATTTTATGACTACGACAAAAGGTATAATTTAGCAGACGATTTTTACAAGAAAGTACAACCATTTTGGTTTGCTGCATTCAAGAACAAAATTGGGGGATACGTAATTCACTTTGGAGACACCCCCCCCCCAAATGCGTTTGCATATGCCGTCATTTTGAAAGACTGATGAAACAACAACCTTATGTGCTCATTTGTTTAGAAAACACCGAAGACGCAGACCAAGTCGCAAAAACGTCTCTATCAACATATTTCCAACCTCGTTTTCTAGTATTAAAGGGTTGCGTGACGACGCCCAGTGCCCATGTCGAGACCGTACATCCAGCGTTCGCGTCCCACGGCACGCCAAACGTCCATAAACCTGAATACGAGACAAGTTCCCCCAATTAAAGAGCCATCGTTGAGTTACGAAAGACTATACCATGCTCTTTGCCGTGGGTGGAATTTAAACTCGGTCAGCATCTCATGTGTCACCCGTAGGCGGGCACTGCACATTGCCAATTTTTGTCAAGCAACAAAAAGACACTGCTTTCATGAACGATTCCGTTTTCAAGATTGTTTTTTTATTGCAGGAAGATTAATTGCATAATGTCAAACAATTGCTTTCATGTAGTGCATCAACAATACCCAGCACCCAATACCCACAAGCATACTTTTAGAGGATTGTCGTTGAACATTATTTTCTCACAAATTGAACTCTTGCATCATTTTTTGCGATACTGTTTTTTACCCTTGGGCCCATTTATTTCGCAGACAAAAAAGTCTACAGCTTAAAGAGTGAAAACCTCTGTCAAAAAAGAGTGTCTCTTGAAATATGCTCCAAAAGAGTGAAAAACCACTCTACAAAGACTTTTTAAAATCCATTCTAAAAAGATTGAAAACCAATTCAAAAGAGTGGAAATCACTCCACAAGAGGATCCCATTTAGCAGAGACGAGAGGAAATTTCACTCTTTTAAAGTGGTTTTCACCCTTTTCGAGTTGTTTTTATTTTACAGAGGACTCACTCCTTTTTAGAGTGACCTTTTCCACAAAAATTATTTTCAGGAGTGGTGATAATAATCTATAATCTGAATAATGGTGGATATCTTAAAACCTGGTACGTTGTCATTTACACCTCAGGTTGCACTTTTAATTTTCAGTTTCATTATTTTCGATAAACATAATTATACTAAGTTGTGTCTCATTTTCGTTTTGCCTGTGGGCACGATTTGAAAATTAAGTCACCGTCACCTCACCACTAGTACAATGGGGCTACGATGTTACTTAGCCTAGTCTCAGTGATAACGGTAGTAACGATCGCTAACAGAAAGCAAGATATCACGACGCAGACAGATGCGAGCGGCGTGTGACGTCATTTTATGTCATCGTTGTAACTGTACGCCTATCATTGTACCTGCACGCAGTAAATTAGTAAAGTTTAACACGATCCAACTTTGCGTCCGTTTTTCATCAAATGCGATGAAGCTTTCAAGTGGGTAATGTTCAGCGATGGGTCTGCCTCTCTATACGTTGATACCAAATGTTTAATTTCACATTTAACTGTTGCACTTTAGCGAGACGCAGGAACAGTGCGTTACAATAAGCAGTTACCACGTTAAGGATGTGTTCGATTAGCTTCCATGAGTTGACTCGGTTTTTACCTCGTCCCAACCGTCTACCTTGAGTGACACAGCACTTACGGTGATCCCTAGGTCAGAATTGCCCCGTGTAAGCCAATCGAACGCACCATGTACGTATCTGTCTCAATTGTTGTTTTAAGTGTTTATAATATCAAATTGTGCATCACGTGTGCCATAAGTAACACTATACACACGTTTACATTTCACATGATATAACTGTTTTCAATTTCCACCAAGTAACCTTTTTCATTGTAAACGGTGTGGATACATGGATACTCTACACAGGAAAAAAAAGTTACAGGCCATCATAGTGGACACATTCTCTACAAATTAACCGGCTTATTAGGGTTGGACGGCAATCCCTTTAAGTCTCAACCTATGGCCGAGGCATAATGTGTAACATGACAGTATCAATGACATCCAGAATGAGATTCGTTTCTGGAGTTAGGATCACTTTCCCAAAGCTGTTTGATAAGCCTCAGCGCGAGTTTCCTTGTAGGTTTGTGCATTAGTTCTAATTACTAACGAGGTGTTATTCCAATCGAATGGAACAACTGTACCCCGGATACACCCAGTGACCTCCCTGTGTGTGCCCCAGGTATGACGTCAAATCTAATCGAGCGACTTCGGGTTAACCTGTGCCGACCCCATGGGTTTTTTTCTCGAACGCATGCTTTCATTTGCGACGTGTGGTCGGGCATGACGCCATTTTGTTTCCCAAATGGTGGCCATTGTGAACATGGTTACAATAAACGATCACGAAAGAAAGAATGTAAAAGGCAAATCAAACGTAGACAACTCGGACATAAACGTACGCATACTCGAATACGTGTATTTGGGTGCCCTTTGGTGGTGGATTTAAAAGAAGAAGCTGGCCGCAAATATCTGTATACTACAAGCTTTCCTCATTCTACATTAATAACATACATGTATGTGCAATAAGTGATAACAGTGTACACACGTTATAAAGGAATGGAAAGTCCTCAGAAATCGTCTTTAAAATTGGCACCGAATGTAAAAAGTGAACCAACAATGTGTTTTAATTAGCACGTTTATCACGTTGAAAGGTGAGACTTTGCAGCATTTTTATCATCTTTAAATGTGATTCTCTCTAAGACGTATTCAATTTCCTTAATTTGCTAACAGTTTTTGAGTGGGTGGTAACCAACCATTAGGCGCCTTTGCTAAAAGACACGGGATTCGTGAAAATGAGCAAGTGCATTTACTCTAAACCACTTACAACAATGTTCTGTTGGGGGCTGGTTCTGCCACTCTGTTCCTTCGAAATGCACTCTTGGGTTACAATTACTACAAGTAGGCTAATATGAGTATTATTAGTTAAGGGAGCCATCGTGATAACTATAGATGTGCCATTGTTGTATCTGCCTTGAAGCACCCCCTCGTCGATGGAAAAGAGCCATGTTGGTGGGGAACATTCGTTTTGCTGGTCGGGATGAAAACATAGTGCCTGCATTTCATACTTATTTGCGAACCAGAGACGGTGCAGTGACGATCACGGGAGCCTCTGTTGCTAGGAAAATTGCACCCTCTATTGGTTCAGCTCAGGGATCCTAGAAATAACAAATACTTGAGAGTGTTGTGATAAGAGTAATGCCACTAGGTTTCAGCCTGAATGTTTCAATCACTGAATCCCTCCATCGTGCAGGTAAGAAACATTCATGCCGTTTTATACAACGCTTAAATATAAAAGAAAAATATCCCGCATCACTTGAATATTCCAGAAAATGGACTTACTCTAAGGGCACTTCATGTCACTTCTCACCGCACTTTCAAGCCATCGTCATTGTTTGTTTTGTGGGTTAAGTTTAAATTAGATCTTCAACTCGTATGGTGTATTTTCTTTTAGGTTAAACGACCAAGGTTTGGTGTTCAATACGTTGGGTTGGTTAACGTAGATATTCGGTTAGTTGTTGGGGCAAAATAAAACCTGACCAATGGACCTAGTTTGCCAAGGAACTGAACAGTGACTGTCTTCGTTAATGACCTGACAGTATGTGTCCTGTGTCCAAGCGGAGAGCTATAGGCCAATCTTGCGAGATTTACGGCAGTATTCAATTAAGCAGCTGACGAGTAGCAGAAAAACGGCAGATAGTTGGATGCTCCCCAGCACAATAAAGGAGATATCATAGTTGCCGAAATAGTCGAACAGCCAACCTACATGGTGAGAGAAAAATGCAAGAAAATAACATCTTAATAGGTAGACAGCGAAGAGTGAGAAGGTGGTCTGTGTGAAAGGTATAAACATGAAATCTCAAAAGACAAATACCACAGGTTTAGACTTCGCTGCATTCAAATCAATGTGTCATAAAACGAGGAATCCCGTGTTTACGGAGCCCTGGAAGTGCCATTATATTTATTGCGATCCCATGACATATTTGAGCTCCTGATAATGACATACCGGCTAGAAGTCAAAATTCTGAGATCATTTATAACGCAATGACGCAAAAATGGAGGGGTGTTTAAGTCGGTATTCTGAGATAACTTCATCACAGAACGATGGTCTACTGAAAGTAGAAAGTTGTCACCTAGAAAAATTCTCAAAGAGTAACAACCTAATGAAAATAAGATGGCGTCCCTGGAGAGTTTGTTGCGAATAACATCTTGAAAACGAATGGACGACAACCAGATATACTAATACCAGAGAGCGTGGACTTTTCATATCAATAGTCTGGTCATCGGAAGGCTATTTTGCTGCTAATTATGTCTTTACCTGTGACAAAACCAGCAAGCATTCGCCCAACGCCGGCAAAGCCGTACGACCATCCCAGCGCGTTGGCGAATTTGGCGGGGTTCACAGCCTCCTTCACGACGACAACTGATATAGGGAAGTAGATGCCACTGGCTAGGCCATAAGCCAACGAGGCGGCTGTCAGGGTGTTGAAGGTGTTGAGGACAGGATCTAGTAGCAGGGAGACAGCGGCCAATATGGCCGCTACAGCCAGCAGCTGGGTGGCTGTCAGGCACTTCCTGTCTACCAAGACGCCATGACTAGCCCGAGCAATGATGTTAGTCACTCCGGCAACCGAGGCTAGAAAAGTGGCGTCAATGGGGCTGATGCCCTTCTCGATGGCGTGTGGAATGAGATAAATGAGCCAGCCCATGTACGTGAAGCGCCCACAGAACTGGACGACCATCAGCAGCACAAACGGTGGCTCTGTGAATAGTGAAAGCCCCAGGATGCCCTCACTCGACTCCCAGCAACTGCTGCAGCAGGATCTACAACAGGATCGCTTGCACTCCTTCTCCGGTTCAGATAGTCCCATTGCACCCGGTGTGATGGTGTCTTCCTCTGTATCCGCGCAGGAATCGATACCATTTTCGTCACAGTTCGACGGAATCCGCTGGTATCGACGACCGATGGCGTGCTTTTCTTCGTCCTTTTTCCCATGATCGTATCCACGAAGCGGTCTCAGCAACGCTCCACATGCAGTCACGTGCAAGCACATAGCACCTATAATGGACAGCGCCCCTCGCCAACCGTACGTGTCGATCAGCACTTGGGAGAGAGGTGCCAATGTTAGAATCCCCACGCCGGAGCCCGAGTAGGCCAGGCCATTCGCCATGCTGTACCGTTTGTCGAAGTAGCGACTGATCATAACTAAGCTTGGAGTCAGGGCCAGCCCCAACCCAATACCTGTCGAGAGAATGCAGAAATATATTGTCCAATATAAAAGTATTATATGAACCGAATAATATGCTTGATGTTTAGATTTGAAGTCTGCATGCCCTATAAGAGGCATGCTTGATAAATGTATGACGACGACGAGTCAGTTATATAAGATGCTTACACGAAATTTGAAAATAAAACCGTGCAAATACAAGATTCCCGGTAGTCATGAGATTCTTTCCTGGCCGGCGTCATACAAATGTCATGTAGTGGGATAGAATGGGGGTCATTGGTGTATATTTCATGTATATGCAATCGTACGTATGAGTAGGCTACGATTATCCCCGTTTCAAAATGGCAGTTGTTATGTGTGAGCATCGTTTACACCTTACAGGGAAATTATCCTCCAAAACTGGAAACAGTAAAATTGCACCTGTCACTTTCTTGTGATCGAACGTGCACGCGTGCTATTTCCCCTGCACATCGATCGTACCATACGACGACCCCCATTTTATCCCACCATGCACTGCGGTAACCACGGGTGATATGTCATCAGTACATGTACCTGTATAGAGCTATTGCATAGGGTGCTGGGTAAACGAGGTCAATCAGCTCGGCAACCAGAATAAGAAGCCGTTACTGCAGTGGCACAATGCTCGTTGACTGGTGGTACTCGCGCGTTGCAAGCATCTTTCACCGATAGGGTGTCGTGATTTGCACAATGTACGCGCGCGTAAAGCTGAAGAACGTGTGTGAGTGCGGCGCCACCGCAGTTATAAACCCTGAGTGCAATCGAAAGAGGGCGCGATTTTCCTAGTAACGAAGGCGCCCTCGTTAGGAAATGCACTTCGCTGGTTCACGAACGACTATGAAATGCGTGACACGTGCATACGAAGCTACCAGCAAAGTGAACACTCCCGACCCACATGGCTCTTTTCAACCGATGACAGGGGTACTTCTGCTCGACGCGGGTAGCGTCTTATCGATAGTTTATACTGTTGTTTGGAAAAGTGCATGTAAGCCAAAATCTGTGGATGACAGAGCGTAACAATGTTCTCTTTCAATGCGTCAAGGTACTAACATTGCTTATATTTTGTACACTATTTTTTCTGGAGTTACGTACACGGTTCTTTGGTCCCGTCACCTTTGTTTCAAATTAACGTTTCACCAGCAGGACTGCCTTTGCTATGTTTATAAAACACGCCCTCTCTTGTTCCCGCTTGACACGGACAACGTTAAAGAGTGAACGCCGCCAATGTGGGTTCTGTGTGCTACGGTTTGAGGTCCGTGTGCGCAGTCAACAGACTAAACACCAGAATTAAATATCGGGTTATCACGCTCAATTACTGGTCATTTGTGCCTGCCAAAAGGGTTCTTCGGGTTAAAACTAATTGTTCCGCATGTTATATAATGACGACTCACCGGCAACAGCAAGAAGCCACGACAATTGAAGGGTTGTCTGCGCAAAGAAAGCAGCAATGATCAGACCAGAGCTAGCGAAGATACCGCCTACCACGGCAACAGGGCGGCAACCAAACCGCTGACAAAGAGGTCCGCTTATGAGACCTGGAAACAAATCAACCGTGAAAAACAGAAAACGATATTAGCACCAGAAGACTGCATGCAAGAAAAGGTGTAAGATTGCGCTGTGTAGTGTTTTGCAAACATTTAATCCTTTCCCAGCGTGGAATGTGACTTGGCTTAAATTTCAGCTCAAAGCTTACATGGCAAATGGCCCATTAAAGTTAGTGGTCGTCAGACTGTCCTCGGGAGGCATCTCACCTTGATTTGTGAAATAGGCTTGGTTGAATTGAAATATGTTTGGTTAATTAAATAGTGCATTTCGTTCATCAAGCTTCCCAGTGTAGAGTGACCCAAACATGAGTAAGCAATGAACTTCAAAACAGGTCATGGAAACGAATTTCAAAAGATTATCTCATACAAACGAACTCGGGAAACTTTAGTATATTTTTCTAAAACTAGAAACAGTATTTCTAAATATGGATCTCATAAGACAAACAGGTGCATATCTCATACAAACGAACTCATACAAACGGACTGCGAAAAAATATACTTCACATTTTGAAAAAAATATCCTTGATGGCACTACAGGACTTTTGTAAGACATACTGCAAATTGGCTTGATAAGAATTAAAATTAAAACTTTTATTAAAACGTGTTTTTGGATCCGTTTAATCTCCTGCGGAATTGTTGTTATCCCAGACCCTGTGCAAAGTGGGGCGTTAATTTTCAACCACGCAAACAGATGTTCTGTTAGCTTAAAACATCTAAGGCTAGGTATTTGGATGAGGAACCTGTGATGAATTGGGATAGTTAAAAAAGACCACTGTGGTGAATTCATCTGGGTTAACATGAATATATATTTTGTTCCAGCTCAAGTAATTCTGATGTTTGTTTCCATTTTCTGCTGCCCGCATTTCATGACAAGGTAGTACACATCTCACTTCATTTCATCAAGGGCGGGTCACTGCTTCCTTATGATAGGCAAGAGCAGATCCTTTATACTCCCATATAATTGGTACTGACATGAACTATCAAAATCCACGTCAATGAGGGCGCCCTGTGCAAACTCTCAGTGAACGCAAGTCTACTCAACTAACAGAATGACCACTCCTAAGGGAATGCCTTATTAAGATGACATAACATGTAGAATAAATCAGCTTTTCTACTTAACTGTCTCTAACAACATTGCATTTTGTGGTGAGTAAAGTATACGAACAACTTCTCGCTATCCAAAATATTGGATGTTATCTTATGACGGCCAACTTTTTGTATTTGCAGATCTTGTGCATCAACTCAAGTAAAATTGTCAAGATATCTGTTATTATTTTATTCTCCGATTCTGAAATAAAAATATCAAATTTCGTAAGCTCTGAGAAGAACACATGTGCAGGATGATTCTGGACAACTTCAAAATGGGATCAGAAGCATCACAAGATGTCATCTGATAATTACACAAGTTATACCGACCAGTCAATTTCTTGAGAGACCAGTCCATTTCAGAATGACCCATTGGTATACAAACACAAGATATCTGACACAATAACGACAATCTACATGGTGCCTTTATACAATGACAGGATTTCATTCGTCCTTATACCTAGACAGTGGGATATGATAGGCAAGTATGTTCTCGGGTCAGTTAACTGAAAAAATTACTTCTAATAAATGCTAAAAATCTGATTTTTTATGAACAGGGGTATGGGAAGCAAAGAAAGTTTGTTGGAGTCTGGTGCTGTCTTGTAGTGTTGTAAATGGCTTAAATCTGTACCTAGCTGGTGTAGTCATTCTCGGCTAAGTTTTTACGATTGGTACAAACGGTTTGACGTTTTCTTTCCTTGAATTTTGGCCCAAAGAAGTTTTCTTGTGTTTACTTTTTGTAACAGGTTTCTTTGGTCCGACCTGGTGTTTCCATTTCGAATTCGACTTGTCGTCCAACACAGATTTTTCTCAGTTGTGCATACAGTTTTCTGAGCATGCGAAGTCTTTTCGACCTTTAAAATCAGTCCAGCTTTGAATTGCACATAATTGTCTTGTTATTATAGTCTTCCCGTGTGGATAAAGTAAAGTAGGCCTATGGCCTTTCTCTTATGTAAAAAAAAATACAATTAAAAAAAAATTAAAAAACGAGAAAAAGAGGGTTGCGGAACAGTTGTCTGTCTTGTAATTTCCATGCAACCATGTAGATTTGATTTCCTTTAGCCAAATACAAATACAGCGCTCATAAAGACCCCTCACAGCATTTCTGAGATCCTATACGCAAATTATGGTGAAGCAACTTTAGAAAGCTTGAAATAGGCAATTATCCTCACACAGGTTTTGACGATTTCGCAGTGGTAACTTTCAAGCTGGCACTCGGAATCTCAGACGAATACAACGATTAAAAAATTGGATTTAACAAAGACACCACACAGAACCGAACTAATTTACAGTGTAGATATGTTGCTTCGATAACAGCGAAAGGTGGTTTGTTCAGGTAAGTGACCATTAAGTTATGCGGAGTGACGTGGCTGGAACCACAGGAAACACATATCAAATGACACAAGGAGACAACTTATTATGCTCTTTGTTTAATGTTTCACGCAACCTACGGCTCAAGCCTTCAATCCAAAGATAAATTGGAAAATTCCTTCAGCTCCTTGTAATGAATAAAGCATGTATTGCAAACCATATTTTAGAGTAACCTTTTTCCTCATACATGGTTCGTGGGCATGGACTTGGTACTGCGAAGCTTTTACCGTAATTCCCGATTCAAAACAAAACAAAAAACTAAAACAAAAAGGAAAGTATTTTTGAAGCTGGTACATACCTGCAAACTTGTGATGAAATTGAATTAACTATCACTATTATACTTTGGGGGTTGAGCTACAGGTGGCCGAGTTGTTAAGATTTGTGACTCATGACCAGAGGGTCAAGGGTGCGAATCCAGTTGCTGGCCTTCGGTTGGTGGCCTTAGGTTAGCAACAATCTCCATCAACAGTTAACGCAGATAAGTTTGAAACGTGAAACTATACCGTATGCAAAGTTTAATTCAACAGTTTGAGGTGTTTTGCGGGTGTTTATTTAAGTGCTGGATATTTCTTTTGATTGAAAACAATAAATCTGAAATTAATTATGGCTAGAGGATATTTGAAATAAGGTATTTCTATTGAAAAAATGGTGATTTTAAGCCCACAACCAAAATAACTCTTCCAAGCAAAATTGTTAACACATCAAACCTCAAATTCGAATTGAACAGTATCGGTGAAATTAAATAATTTCCTTCACTAAAGACACGACGTGTGTACTTAGACGGAGTACCCTGAAATTTTGTTTGCCTGTCTACTTCATCTTCCAAAAAAAACAACAACAACAACAACAACAACCCCCCCCCCAAAAAAAAACAAGTTGTCTTCTTCTTGATAGAATTTGTCGTTGTCCTCGTTGACCGTACTGCAGGTCGTATTACCCTACCCGGGTAGTGGACATCTTGCATATGTAGGCGTACTTGTGAGAGCACGGTATGTCATTCCAATCTGCATACGTTTTTTGAGGGCGAAGGTGGACGCAATCCTCGTTGTTGTGGTTGTCTGGTTGGGATTCCCCCCATGCGTTGTAGTCAACATTGCTGCCGTCTGTCCAGTGGAAGTGTCCCTCTTTCGTGCGGTCATCCATGCCGATCCACAAGTAGTTGTAGTTAACAATGGCAGTTGTCCACATTCGGTAGACAAATTGATTCTCTGCCTTGTTATGAATGGACACCAGGTGGCCTTTTCTACTCCCAGCGATCTGCTGGCAGTGCTTCTCGGCTTCGTCAAAGGTCTGGGGAGTGGCGAAAAGACGGTAACAGCTGCCAAAGTGGAGGGTCCACGTCGGTGGACAGGTCGGACAGCCTGCCTGGCACCTTGCCACCAAGTCAGAAGCAAGTCCAACAATGAAGACAGCAAACACGACTCGTAGGAAGGCCATGATACTATGCTGAAAAGATATAGGGGGAGATTTTGTCAGTAGGCTATATCAATAAACGTATTGCACTTAACGACTGAGGAGGATGGGACACTTTGCTCCACTTGGGTGATGGGAAACTTTAAGACGTTATGAGCATGCCTGCATAGTTCTGAGCATGCGCAATACCTTGAAAAGGACCGGTATGTCTGCAAGTTGCCACCAGCGCTTCAAAAAAGGCCGTGTCCGAAACGGGCTTCCAGAGCTACGGCTAGGTCTATTGTGTACGCGTCTCCACGCATTTCTAATGGAGTGGAGACCTAGACCTAGCTCTAGACAAGAGATTCAGATGCAGCCTTCGTCTCCCATTGGCCTGCGTCAGCTCTAGATTTCTGCGTTGCCGCCACTTCGCGCTGCGCAATGCGTGGAACATTTCTTACTGTACCCAAACCTGGAACGTTACGTGACGTGGGTGACTGATCATCCAATTAACGGCAGGGAAAAGCCTACAGAGCATACGGGACCAAATTGCATACTAGATCGAATGAACCAGCTAGTTATTCAAACAGCTCATGCCCAAAATATACAAGGTCATTTGGACGCGTGTACAACGACAGCCTTTTTAGTGTGGTTACTTCCAACATATTCCAAACACTTTGCTGTCCACTTCCGCATGGTACGCGTTGTGTATTGGAGATGGTTAGGCATTTTCGGCTGTCAGCGGAAATGTATGCAAGTTATATGTAATGTATATTTAAGTAATACATGTGTTTTAAAACGTATGGTGAATCTTGGAGTTCCTGCCGGAAGTTTATGTCATGCGCAGAAGAAAAGATGTAAACACCTAGTATATGGACTATGAGAAGGATGTGTCGCAAAGAAAGGATACGAGAAGCATACGTTCAAATACAATACACTGATTGGTAAAATAATTTTCAACTGGGCCAATATGTTTTACAATTTACTGCGCCGCGCAAGTAATGTTTGGACAATCGAAAGAAATTATGTCGAACTTCAATGTTCAACGACTTGTGAAACCCATGGTAAAGGTGGGATGTAATCTTTTATACATTATAACGTGGCAACATGTGTGAAATCAATTACGTTTACCGTTTTTTAAG